TTAGTGTATTTAACTTCTAAGTTAATATTTACTCACTAATGTATGTTTTTTTTCTACTTTATAGGTTATTTGTAAGAGTAGTTGAGAGATATGAGCATATCAAGTACAATTTATGTTCAATTTTTTTAATTAAATTAAAGTTAGGTGAAACAATTACTTAAGTGAAGAACAAATAACTTTGTAATAATTTATTATGCGATTTTATAATTTTTGTTTATTTGATAAGATTGAATAAACCATTGGGGCTATTTTAATAGTTTTACAACTTATGAGATTTTTATGTTTATGAGAAAATATACAACACAAAAATTTCATATCGCATGTCCAAACAAACCTTTAATTTCATCTCGTGATTTCATATCATGATACCATATCGCATGGCCAAACGGGCCCTAAGACTAGGAATCCTCTTAACTGATAAATCCTAAATTAAATATAATTATCTAATTATTATAAATGACAAATTCTAAACTAATAAGGATTTTTATAATTAAATTACCATAAATAATAAATTCTAAACTATTAAGGAATCATATTTTTGGTTTATTTTCTACATAGTCTCTCTTAAATCAAGATTTTCAAATGTGACCGTGCATTATCTTCTTCAACTTTATGAACAACTCCATGAGTAATATCAGATGGGCATGATATGGTACGGTAGAATATTGAATTTTTCGATATCATAATTTTGATATTCGGCTTTTAAAATATTCTACCATTATCATACCAATTTAATTCAATATGGTTCGGTATATTAAAGTTCGATTTCAGTATTTTATGGTATGGCAAATCAATAATCAGTTCAATTTCGACTAATATATACTCGTGTAATAGAGAATTGTGATTTTGACTATTAAAAAAAATGTCTCAATTGCATCATACTAACACATTACATATGTCGAAGTATATATGCAAAACAAAGTACAAACAACTCCTTTTGTTAATCAATTACAATTCAACTACATTTCAATCAAAATAGAGTAGTCAAAAATTTAACTTCTAAACATTTAGTTTATACTAATACTAGGTTGCATATTTTATTTTTTTTGTTAATATTTTTGTGTGTGTATGTTATTTATGCAATTATATACTTCGATATGGTATTCGGTATTTCTCTGTTGGTAAGAAGAATTACCTCTACCACGACCTGGAAAATTACCTTTGTTCCCTTATCTTCTACCTCTGAAATTTTGACCTCTTTGATTTGTCTCAACCAAGTTTGATATCTCTTCTTTTGAATTAGGTTGATTCACCTTTGCCAACACTTCAGCAAATCTTTTTGTCGTCAGTTGATTCAAGAACATCTCGTATGTCATCAATTCATTTTCTAAGTCATTAAGTGTCAAAGTACTAAGGTCTTTGGTGGCCTCAAGGACCGTCTTCTTGGTGTGAAATTTTGTACTTAATGATAGCAATACTTTTTTAACAATTTTAACTTTATCTAAATCTTTTCCATTAGTTCTCATATCATTGACTTAGCATGTGAAATTCTATTATATACATGTACATATGGTAAATAATTCACAAAGAATGGGTGTTTGATATATCAAAATTTAAAGTTTAATTTTGATAATTAAAAGTAGATATCAAATATCGAATTGTTTAAGTTCGATTCGATACACTGATTAAACTTTGATATGGTGAATATCAATTATATTCGGTGGTTTATGCCCACCTCTAGATGTAGTCACATCAAATTGAACATTACATAAAATGAATTTTTTTGTTGTCACATAACAATAAATTTAACGATAGGATATAATAATTTTTTTAGTAATAACTAAAATGAATATTACATATAAAGAGAAAAAAGATTACCATTCTACCTATTTGATTAAATTTGTCTTTTCTTCCACCTATGTAAATTTTTTAAAAATAGCATATTAGAAATAACTCAAAAATTACTCTCCCTTTAACTATTGGATCAAATTTATCGCTAACGTCATTTTCAAACTTCAAATTATCCCATCATCAACACAATTGTATGATATTTACTTAAGTTATAATTAAACATGGACCTTTATTATAATGTTTCACAAAAATTCTAATCCAACCCAAAATGACCCGATCCATTCATGATCCAAACTAACACAAAAATCATTTTAAATTAAGGCATCTAAACCCAACAAATCCTTCTTGTTAAGCCCTTTCATTTAGTGAATTTGGATAACTATTTTATTCTAGCTCTCTATTTGAACTATTCCAATAACAACTTGGTACATGAGACTCAGTTTTTTAAAAATAAATGGCATATGTTTAATTAAAATTTAATAAATTTCATGTAATTGTGTTGTTAATGGAGTGACAATCTTAAACTTGAAAATAATTTTAGGGGAAAATTTGAAATAATATGAGGAAGAATGATATTTTTGAGCAATTTCTAATACGCTAAGAGAATTAACTTTTTATGTGAATAAGTGAAAGGATAGATAATATAATTTTGATACAATAAAATAAATAAATGATATTTTTGAGTGATTTTTAATACATTAAAGACGTCTTTGACTGTTTATGTATTCAAAGTAGCAATATGTAGCAACCATCCAAACAAGTTAGTATTTATTTTTATTTATATATCATGAAAGATGTTCTACTCACTATTAACATGTTTTTTCCACTCTTTAACTCTCAATATTTCCTTGAATGATTTGATATAAGAAGATAAAATGGATAAAAACAGATCTTTACTAGTACAAAGTAATATTTGAGTATATTTTGGATTGATCTTGGTTGAAGAAATTTGAAGAACATATTATAGATATATGAGTTTTTGAAAGTTTGAGTTGAATCTAATAATTGTTAATCATTGAAATTTGAGACTATCATTAAAAGACTAAATATCAAATTTGAAGTTAATTAAGATTAATTTAAAGTAAAAACTTATTATAGATTGATTTTAAATTTGTGATCGTTAGGATTTATGACACAAATAGTGATGAATCGCCATAATTCCAGTCAAAAATACTAAAAAGATCTTGATGATCATCATAATTTGTTGTTAAAGCGTAATGTATGGTGATAACTTATTTAAGATTCTAGCCACATGATTATTACTTTACCGTCTATTTAACAGGTCAAACTTAAAATGGTGATACCTCAACGATGCTATTTGTGCAAATTTGCCCTTGTTTGAAAGCCCAAGTTCTTAATGTCAAAAGTTTGTTTTGAGCCAAAGCCCATATTTATTCTATTTGCAAATGAGAGCCTTACATTCAATTCAAACAATCTGGGCCTTATGGCATTTGAAGGGCCTCTTTGCTAAAACATTTGTATTAAGGCTTATGTAAAAAAAAAATCAACTAGAAGCTAATATATACTTTGATTTGTAATATTACAAAGTTTATCAGATTTTAGTGCATTCAGATACATACATTGTATCCAAGTGATTTCACATGTATTTGGAATACATAACAAATCTGGCTCGCCACTCTCATATGCATATAGTATCCCATATATACATGCGAATCATACCAGGTACATACCAATACGTGTATCTAGTATGATTCACATATATATGTGATACATGACTATCTTGCTCACCTCTCTCCCTATTTTAGTGTATCTGATAACAAAAATATATGTATCTAGGTGCATCTTTTTCAATATATGGTAGAAAACTCTTAATTAGTGATAAAATACGTAATTATTTAAAATTATAGATAAAAATTAATATATCTGGTATGGATGTATGTCTAATAAAGTAATTTTCCCTTAATTCAAGTATATATATATATATAAGCATTCACCTTAAAGAACTATCACATAATTTAAAAGGAACCCTCAAACATATCTGTTGGATTGGGTCATATTGTTGGTGTGAGCAATGTCTTTCAATCCTGGGTTCGCCTCTGGATCCGGGTGACACTTTTGAAGAATCCGAACAACATAGATTCCGGAGCTCATACAAGTCAAAACTGTCTAAAAACTGGCACTTAGTAGCTTTCTGTTTGCATTCTTGTTAATAATTAAAGCAGGCCAAAATCTTCTTGTTACAACATATTCTCTAGCCAAATGAGTGAAGACACAGTACTCTGTGATAACTCCAATAAAACTATGTAATATAAATCAAATCATACCAAATCCTTCATTTTCAAAGCCTTCAATCATGGCACAAAAAAATGATCAAGTACTCCATGTAGTTTTCATTCCATACTTGACACCAAGTCACATGATCCCTTTAGTTGATACATCTAGACTTTTTGCTAGTCATGGTGTCAAAGTTAGCATCATCACCACCCCCTACAATGCCCTCCTTTTCGAATCAACAATCGATCATGACATTGATTTAGGCCACAAAATCTTCATCCACAAACTCAAATTTCCATCTGATGAAGTAGGCTTACCAGAAGGGATTGAAAACTTCAGTGTTACCACTAGTCAAGAAATGGCTATAGGTGTATTTATGGGAATTGCTTTGCTTCAAAAACCAATGGAAAGTCTTATTTTCGAGCTACGTCCTCATTGCATTGTATCAGACATGTTTTTCCCATGGACTGTGGATGTAGCAGAGCAACTGAAGATTCCTAGACTTACGTTTTATCCGACTAATGTTATGTACCATTGTGTTGAACATTGTTTGAAGTTGTATACACCTCATGAGAAGGTAAGTTCGGATTCAGAATGTTTTAAGGTTCCGGGATTACCAGATGAGATTGAAATGAAAAGATCTCAACTACCCGAAGATGTGAAAAACAACCCTGAAGGACCATATTGGGAGTTGTTGAAGAGAATTAAAGAATCAGAACCGCGGAGCTATGGTATGATTCATGACACTATCTATGATCTAGAACCGAGTTATGCTGAGCTTTATCGAAAAATCAAAGGTAAAAAGCCGTGGCTTATTGGACCTTCGTTTCATTTTTCAAAGAGAAACAATTCGAGAAGTAGTCCAGATCAAGAGCGACATAGCTGCTTGAGTTGGCTTGATTCTCAAGAATCAAACTCTGTTGTGTACATTTGTTTTGGAAGTATGGGAAGGTTTTCGGATCCTCAGCTTACTGAAATTGCCTTAGCTCTTGAGGCCTCGAATTCGACCTTTCTTTGGGTGGTAAGAAAGGGAGATAACACATATGAAAGTTGGCTCCCAATTGGGTTTGAGGAAAATATGTTTGCAAACAAGAAAGGTTTGATAGTTAGAGGATGGGTGCCACAGCTGAAGATCTTGAACCATCCAGCAACCGGAGCGTTCATGACTCACTGTGGCTGGAATTCCACTTTGGAGTCTCTTACATCCGGAGTGCCAATGCTGACATGGCCATTGTTTGCGGAGCAGTTCTACAATGAGAAACTGGTGGAGGTACTTGGATGTGGAGTCAGGGTCGGGGCAGAGGTGTGGCATATTTCATTTGACATCACGGATACGATTGTGAAGAAGGAGAAGATAGAGGCGAGTGTGAAAATGTTGATGAACGCCTCTAGGGAAAGTGGAAAGATCAGAAGTAGAGGAAAAGACGTCGAAGCAATGATTAAGAGGGCTGTGGAGGAAGGAGGTTCATCTTATAATCATCTAACTGCATTAATACAGGAGATGAAGTCTCATGCTTTTGGCATATCAGAAGAGTAATAAGAAATCTAATGTCCCGAGCTTCGCTCATTTTCCCTAAAATATGGGGTTGATTTCTCATACGGACACTCAGCTAATACTAGTTATTATCTCAAAAAGGCATCTTTCTTCTTGATTTTAATTTTCCTCAACAAAGAAAATGACTTGATAATACTATTACTTGAGTGACTATCCAAGAAATCAACATGTAAAAATATGTATGATGAATTCGCATGTATTACAAGACAAAAGAAAAGGGAAAACGAAATAACATGTTATGGCCATTAATGCCTTCTATAAACAAATTATCAATCAGCTGACAAGACTGGTTTCCACCACCAACCCCAAACCCCGCCCCTCGTTCCCACTCCACCTGCACCCCCACACCCCCTACCCTCCCCTCTGTCATTCTATTCTCATAATTTTGTCATATATATAGAAATGCTTTTAGAATAATATTTTTTCCTTGCATATCAAACAGAGGAAAATAAGTAAGAAACCACTTGTTTTTCTAGAAATAGTTTTATTAGAAAATATTTTCCATGAAAAACATTTTCCTACGGAACACACCTTTAATGAAAGTTTTCGGTTTTTGGGGAAGTTTCTCAACAGTAACATTGGGAGCTGTCTATGATACTTATTGGGGTACACATTGATTTTTGTACTTTGTAGGACCACATATTACCTGTCACATTTTACTTTTTAGTCGATCTAAAAAAGAACGACACATTTTGTATATTTAATAACTAGTAGTTTACTTTAAAATGTTCATTTCATCCTAATGGGACAATCGTTTCAAAAGTCTTTCTTTCTTACTTAAACGTCGTGCCAAGCCAAACATCACATAAATTAAAACGGAGGGAGTAGTACTAAGTAGTTTGCGGCCCACATCTCCCTTTCAACTGCTCTGCAAAAAGATAACACATGGAGAACCACTCAATGTATTGATTGAATAGAAAAACTAATCCAAAATAAGATTCCTTGAAGAAACATACATTGTATTTTAATGTTTTTCCATGACTTTTTTAGGCTATCTGTGATATGTTTGAATCTAATATTAGGTTAGTAACATTTTTCGTTGTTTCTCACCCTACTTCTTACCATTGTTTAGTGAGTTCCCATCCCTTCTTCAAGTTCAGTCATGGCACAAAAAAATGGTGAAATACTTCATGTAGTTTTCATTCCATACTTCACACCAAGTCATATGATCCCTTTAGTTGATATAGCTAGACTTTTTGCTAGCCATGGCGTGAAAGTTAGCATCATCACCACCCCCTACAACGCCCTCCTTTTCGAGTCCTCAATCGATCATGCTACTGAATTAGGCCACGAAATATTCGTCCACAAACTCAAATTCCCATCAGCTGAAGTAGGCATACCAGAAGGGATCGAAAACTTCAGTGCAGTCACTAGCAAAGAAATGGCTATAGGTGTATGCCACTAGCCAAGAAATGGCTATAAGTGTGTTTATGGGAATTCCTCTGCTTCAAAAACCAATGGAAAGTCTTATTTTCGAGCTTCGTCCTCATTGCATTGTTTCAGACATGTTTTTCCCATGGACTGTGGATGTGGCAGAGCAACTGAAGATACCTAGACTTATGTTTTATCCGACTAATGTTATGTACCACTGTGTTGAACATTGTTTGAAATTGTATGCACCTCATGAGAAGGTAAGTTCGGATTCAGAAAGTTTCTTGATTCCGGGTTTACCAGATCAGATAGAAATGAAAAGATCTCAATTGCCAGAGAATATTATAACTAAATCTGAAGGACCATATTGGGAGCTGATGAGGAGAATTAAAGAATCAGAACCTCGGAGCTACGCTATGATTCACGACACTATCTATGATCTAGAGCCGAGTTATGCTAAGCTTTATCAAGAAATCAAAGGTAAAAAGCCGTGGCTTATTGGTCCTTTGTTTCATTTTTCAAAGAGGGAAGAGGCAGACAATTCAAGAAATACTCAACATCAAGAACGACACAGCTGCTTGAGTTGGCTTGATTCTCAAGAACCAAACTCTGTTGTGTACATTTGTTTCGGAAGTATGGGGAGGTTCTCTGATGCTCAGCTTACTGAAATTGCCTTGGCTCTTGAGGCATCGAATTCATCGTTTCTTTGGGTGGTAAGGAAGGGAGACGAACCCCAAGTAAACGGGCAAGAAAACTGGATGCCTTCTAGCTTCAAGGAAAAAATGCTTACAAACAAGAAAGGTTTGATAGTCAGAGGATGGGTGCCACAGCTGAAGATCTTGAACCATCCAGCAACCGGGGTGTTCATGACTCATTGTGGCTGGAATTCCACCCTGGAATCTCTTACAGCCGGAGTGCCAATGCTGACATGGCCATTGTTCGCGGAGCAGTTCTACAATGAGAAGCTGGTGGAGGTTCTTGGATGTGGAGTCAGGGTCGGGGCAGAGGTGTGGCACAGTACTTTTGACATCAAGGATACGATTGTCAATAAAGAGAAGATAGAGGCGAGTTTGAAGACGTTGATGAACACCTCCGGGGAAAGTGAAATGATCAAAAGTAGAGCAAAAGACGTCGAAGCAATGATTAACAGGGCTGTGGAGAAAGGAGGTTCTTCTTATAATCATCTAACAACATTAATACAGGAGATCAAGTGTCATGCTTTTGGCATATCAGAAGAGTAGTAAGAAATTTAACATTCTGAGCTCTACTTATTTTTCCTAAAATAGCATCATGCCTCGCGTGCATTACATAACACAAGAAAAGGTAAAACGAAATAACATGTTATGTTTCAAGCAATCTTTTCCCCGGACATCACTTGTGGAACTACACTGAGTATGTTGTTGTTTCAAGCAATCTTTTTATAGACAAAAAACTCTTAAAGAGTGTTTCAACTTTCAAATAAGGGATCTACCAAATAAGAAAATGAAGCTATGTGAACCTGTATAACTATAGAGCTGGGAATAAAATTGACACATTGAAGAACTGGAACTCTTAAACCGATTAACCGAGCTTTTGAAAAAAAAAATCATTCCCAACCGAAGAACCAAAGAATCGAATTAATTCGGTTCGATCCGATATTTCTAATTTTAGCATTCAGGCCTAGCTCTAATGGAGTCCATGTTTCCCTGACATGAAAAATAATATATTTTGTCATGTCAGGCTTTTTATAATCTACGTAGTTGAACAATTTTATAAGGGAATGTGCTAAGTTGAGTGATTTTATTGCTTTTGTCTTATGAATCACAAGTAAAAACTGAAATAATGCTCATGACAAGCAACACTATTAACTATTTATCTCAGTATTGGTTACTATCTTTGTCCTTTAGCCTTCAATTCACACTTCAGACTAACTTTGAGTTCACAATTTCACATTATACAAAATGTCAAAACCTAAAGTAAGAACTCTATTCCTCTTAATTTCTCTTTGTGTTGCACTTGTATAGTTCTTTTCATGTTAGTTATTATTGTTTCTATCTTATGAGCGTTCTATAAAGTTACATTATTGTCTTGTCACGTCAAATTGACGTTGGAGAAGTCATAATATTTGTTTTATAAGCATTTTCTTATTGATTAAACTAAAAACCGAACCGTTAAGGACCAAAATCGATAAATTGAAATCAATAAAAAATATCTTATTGGTTTAACATATTTAAAAACCAAAATCAATAAACCAAACCAATAATACATTAAAACTAAACCGAACCGAACCGATCAATGCACACCCTTACTTGCTTTCAACTGCTCTGCAGAAAGATAACATAGGGAGTACCACTCAGTGTACTGATTGAATATAATAATAATCCAAGATAAGATTCCTTGAAGAAACATACTTAGTATTTTAATGGCTTTTTCATGACTTTTTTAGGCTATCTGTAATATGTCTGAATCTAATATTAAGTTAGTAACATTTTAAGTTGTTAAGTGAATTTCCATCCCTTCTTCAAGTAAGGTCATGGCACAAAAAAATGGTGAACTACTCCATGTAGTTTTCATTCCATATTTCACACCAAGTCATATGATCCCTTTAGTTGATATTGCTAGACTTTTTGCTAGTCATGGTGTCAAAGTTAGTATCATCACCACCACCTACAACGCCCTCCTTTTCGAGTCCTCAATCGATCATGCTACTGAATTAGGCCACAAAATATTCGTCTACAAACTCAAATTCCCATCAGCTGAAGTAGGCATACCAGAAGGGATCGAAAACTTCAGTGCTGCCACTAGCCAAGAAATGGCTATAAGTGTGTTTATGGGAATTCCTCTGCTTCAAAAACCAATGGAAAGTCTTATTTTCGAGCTTCGTCCTCATTGCATTGTTTCAGACATGTTTTTCCCATGGACTGTGGATGTGGCAGAGCAACTGAAGATACCTAGACTTATGTTTTATCCGACTAATGTTATGTACCACTGTGTTGAACATTGTTTGAAATTGTATGCACCTCATGAGAAGGTAAGTTCGGATTCAGAAAGTTTCTTGATTCCGGGTTTACCAGATCAGATAGAAATGAAAAGATCTCAATTGCCAGAGAATATTATAACTAAATCTGAAGGACCATATTGGGAGCTGATGAGGAGAATTAAAGAATCAGAACCTCGGAGCTACGCTATGATTCACGACACTATCTATGATCTAGAGCCGAGTTATGCTAAGCTTTATCAAGAAATCAAAGGTAAAAAGCCGTGGCTTATTGGTCCTTTGTTTCATTTTTCAAAGAGGGAAGAGGCAGACAATTCAAGAAATACTCAACATCAAGAACGACACAGCTGCTTGAGTTGGCTTGATTCTCAAGAACCAAACTCTGTTGTGTACATTTGTTTCGGAAGTATGGGGAGGTTCTCTGATGCTCAGCTTACTGAAATCGCCTTGGCTCTTGAGGCCTCGAATTCATCGTTTCTTTGGGTGGTAAGGAAGGGAGATGAACCCCAAGAAAGCTGGATGCCTACTAGCTTCAAGGAAAAGATGCTTACAAACAGCAAAGTTTTGATAGTCAGAGGATGGGTGCCACAGCTGAAGATCTTGAACCATCCAGCAACCGGAGTGTTCATGACTCACTGTGGCTGGAACTCCACCCTGGAATCTCTCACAGCCGGGGTGCCAATGCTGACATGGCCATTGTTCGCGGAGCAGTTCTACAATGAGAAGCTGGTGGAGGTTCTTGGATGTGGAGTCAGGATTGGGGCAGAGGTGTGGCACAGTACTTTTGACATCAAGGATACGATTGTCAATAAAGAGAAGATAGAGGTGAGTTTGAAGACGTTGATGAACACCTCCGGGGAAAGTGAAATGATCAAAAGTAGAGCAAAAGACGTCGAAGCAATGATTAACAGGGCTGTGGAGAAAGGAGGTTCTTCTTATAATCATCTAACGGCATTAATAGAGGAGCTCAGGTGCCACGTTTTTGGCACCTCGAAAGAGTAACTGAAAACTTAATGCATTGAGCTCTCCTTATTTTTCCTACAATAAGCACCACGCCTCCTCGTGCATTACATGACAGAAGAACAGGAAAAAAAGGAAATAACATGTTATGTTTCAAGCAATCTTTTCCTCAGTCTCCACTTATGGGACTACACTGGGTATGTCGTCGTTGTTGTTTCAAGCAATCTTTTATAGACAAAAAACTCTTAAAGAGTGTTTCAAACAAGGGATCCACCAAATAAGAAAATGAAACTAGGTGAATCTGTAAACAATGATTTCCCTTATCTCAAATATAGCTATTAACAAATGAGTTGCATTTAATAAGGGATATAGTTGCTATATTTCTTTACATTTTTAAGACAGCAAAATATGTGATAATACATGAAGAAAACTCACTTATCAAATGAGAAGTTTATCATGTTTTGTCCAGGTGCATTCTACAATCAGCAACTGAAAGATTGTTAGCACAAAAGAACACCGCGAGTAAAAACTGAAATAATTAATGGACCAACCGCGCTGAAAAAATGACAGTATGCATGTCACACACAGAGACTGTATTCATCGTCAAAACATAAAGAAGTGCACACCAAATTAGCCACAGGCCACTATGCAGTGCTGCATAATTATATAGTTCGGAAGGCACAAATATCAAACAAGAGCTGTGATATTTTTGTGCTTAAACTATGACAACGGCATAAGTGTACAAGTAAAGGTAATGTTATCTATTCAGTAACGCTTACCACTCTGCAGTACACATTGTTTTTGGTACTCATGCTACACCTACTACAGAGTGATTGAATTTGTGTTTCTTAATTTACTCATGAAAAGCAACATTATTTCAACTACTCACTTTAAACGTTCGATCCCTACCTCACTTTGTAGGACCACATGTTCATTCTGTCCCAATTTAGACACACTTTTCCTTTTAGTCAGTCCCAACAAGAATGACACATTTCTATATTTAGTAACAATTGGGGTGATTTACGACCACACAAACATCTATTACACATTTACTTTTTTAAACTTTGTATCAAATCAAACAACATCACATAAATTGAAACAGAGGAAATAGTATTTTGAGGCCCACATCTCCCTTTCATAACTTTTCTGCAGAAAGATAACACAGGAGAACCATTCAATGTATTGATTGAACATAACAACTAGTCCAAAATAAGATTTGTTAAAGAAACATACCGTGCATTTTAATGTTTTTCTCATGATCTATAAAAACAAAACATGATTTTTTAGGCTATCTATGTTATGTCTGAATCTAATGTAAGGTTAGTAACATTTTCAGTTGTTTCTCACTCTACTTCTCCCATTCTTAGGTAAGCACTAATGGCACAAGAAAATAGTGAACTCCATGTAGTTTTTGTTCCATACTTTACACCAAGTCATATGATCCCCTTAGTTGATATAGCTAGACTTTTTGCTAGCCATGGAGTCAAAGTTACCATTATAACCACACACTATAATGCCCTCCTTTTCGAGTCCTCTATCAAGGATTCTGGCAACCAGATCTTCATCCACAAACTCAAGTTCCCATCTGATGAAGTAGGCTTACCAGAAGGGATCGAAAACTTCACTGCAGTCACTGCCTCAGAAATGGCTATGTTATTTATGGGAATTGCTTTGCTTCAGAAACCAATCGAAGATCTTATTGTTGAGCTTCGTCCTCATTGCATTATTTCAGATGTGTGCCTTACATGGACGGTGGACGTAGCTGAGCAACTGAAGATACCTAGAGTTACATTTTATCCACATAATCTTATGTACCACTGTGTTGAACATTGTTTGAACGTGCATACGCCTCATGAGAAGGTAAGTTCGGATTCAGAAAGTTTCTTGATTCCAGGTTTACCAGATCAGATTGAAATGAAAAGATCTCAATTGCCAGAGGGTATTAAAACCAAACCTGAAGGACCATACTGGGAAATGATGAAGAGAATTAAAGAATCAGAACCTCGAAGCTATGCCGTGATTCATGACACTATCTATGACCTGGAGTCTACTTACGCTGAGCTTTACAAGGAAATCAAAGGTAAAAAACCATGGTTGATTGGTCCTTTGTTTCACTTTTCAAAGAGAGAAGAAGCAAGCAATTCAAGGAACACTTCAGTTCAAGAGCGACACAGCTGCCTAAGTTGGCTTGATTCTCAAGAACCAAGCTCTGTTGTGTACATTTGTTTCGGAAGTATGGGCAGGTTTTCTGATGCTCAGCTCTATGAAATTGCCTTGGCTCTTGAGGCCTCGAATTCATCGTTTCTTTGGGTGGTAAAGAAGGGAGACAAACCCCAAGAAAATGAGCAAGAAAGCTGGATGCCTACTAGCTTTAAGGAAAAAATGCTTACAAACAAGAAAGGTTTGATAGTCAGAGGATGGGTGCCACAGCTGAAGATCTTGAACCATCCAGCAACTGGAGCGTTCATGACTCATTGTGGCTGGAACTCCACCCTGGAATCTCTTACAGTCGGAGTGCCAATGCTGACATGGCCCTTATTCGCGGAGCAGTTCTACAATGAGAAGCTGGTGGAGGTTCTTGGATGTGGGGTTAGAGTTGGGGCAGAGGTGTGCCACAGTACTTTTGACATCACGGATACAATTGTCAACAAGGAGAAGATAGAGGCGAGTGTGAAAATGTTGATGAACACCTCCAAGGAAAGTGAAAAGATCAGAAGCAGAGCAAAAGATGTCGAAACAATGATTAAGAGGGCTGTGGAAAAAGGAGGCTCTTCTTATAATCATCTAACTGCACTAATAGAGGAGCTCAAATGCCATGTTTTTGGCACCTTGGAAGTGTAATTGAAAATTCAATGCACTAAGCACTCCTTAACCTTCCTACAATAAGCATCAAGGACGTTAACCTTGCTTGTATAATGTATCACAAGACAAGATAAACGAGATAATAAAATATAATCAATAGATTAATCACATTGTCAAAATAACAGATAGCATGCATGTTGCACACTGACTATATTCATTGTTCAATCATAAAGAAGATAAGCACCAAATTAGCCAAACGGCCACCATGTCAATGAGGACTAACAATGTCGCATAATTGTATAATTCATAACTAACTAATGTTAGACAAGAGCTGGATACTGCTTGGCCTGCTGTCTCACTCGTTTCTTGTACTCAGCACCATCCTGCAAAAGCAAGGTCACATATAGTAACGACAAGTTAAAATCAAAATCAAAATGCAAACTTAATTTTTTTCCTGAAAAAGTTCAATGAAGTACACATCAAGCTCGAGTAGCTACCTGCATGTATAGCTGAAAACCTTCTGTTTGTGCTGGATCACTGGGGTTTGGCTGAACAAGCAAATCTTGGATACCCACCAAAATTTGTTTAACTGTAATGGCAGGCCTCCACCCCTAAACAAGAATATAACCAACGGAATAATCATAAGAGTCATCTTGAAACCGATATAACAATTGACAATACTAACAAAGTAACAAAATAACAACGACAAGAACTTACACTGTCCTCATTGAGAATAGACAAACATATTGTTCCCGATGGATAGACATTAGGATGAAAGAAACCTTGAGGAAACTTGCATTTGGGTGGTTTGCTAGGAAAGTCTTCGCTGAAGTTCATTGTTATTGGATAGAAGCCACCTTCCCAGTCAGTCTGTACCATACCAGTTAAAATATCATATCACTATTGCTGACAAATATTAGAGGAAGAACTGAGGGAAGGGGAAAGCAGAGTTTCAACACCGTAAAGACTTGCAGAAGCCAGAATATGTTTCACATCAAACCGTAAAGGATTAAATGTAATAAAACTTTCCAAAAGTGTACAACGCTTATTAGAGCATCATTCAGAAACTCAAACCATTTCAACAAAACATCCTTTCGCATGAAATGTGGAAAGAATATCCCATGATTATTTACGCAACTAACCTATGAAACTAAAAGCATTTCAACAAAACATTCTGTCATTTTTATGCAATTTATATACACACCAAAGCAATTAAAGTTCAAACCTTATGGTACTTTAAGAAAATGGACTTTTACATCCTCGCGAAGATCATATTCTTCTTACTCCATATATTAAATCCAGGGAGTCATGCTTACCTTACAACGCTGTAAGGTTATAACTTTCTTTGTTTAGAAAATTGCGACAGAGTTCAAGGACTTGAGTGACTCTCAAAATGCAACACAAATTGCTTTAAGGTCCATAACTGACGACTACAAACTCTGTGAATAATTCAGTAAGATGAATTTTGTGAACACCTTCAATGGTTTTTGTATCAAAGAGAGACACGGATACCTGATTGTAGTCTATCGGAAACAAGTTCTCTACCTAACACAAGGACCTAAGCGCACTCTACTCTACCCCCAAACCCCACTTATTGGTCACATTGGGTATGTTGTTATTTCAAACATAAAGTGTAATTTCTCAAGTCACGACTAATCTAATAGAATACTTTCTATAATTGCCGCGTAAATATCCAAATTGATGTGTCTAAATATTAATTAGATTGCACAATCTTTTCTTCACAGTTCTCATAACATAGAATCAATAAACACCCTCATGAACCTACGAATTAAAGTTAATTACAGCACAAAACCACTAATTTTCAACACCAAAGCAAGGAAAAACGATCAACAATAAGTTGCTAAAAGAAGTAGACAAATTCTAGCCCAAAAATTCCATTTACGAACGAGGAATTTGCACCAAACCACTGAATATACATATGTTTTATAGGCTTTTATCAATTATGAAAATTCATCATAAATTGACAAGTTTCACTATAGCTACCAAGCTACCTCAACCCTACTCCTCTATCTAGACTTGGAACTAGTGGTGGCAACTGGGCGGATTGAGTCAAATTTGGGCAAGTCATAATGGATGAAGACAATAATTGGGTCAAAACTCAACTCAACCCAAATTTGCTTGGATCAAAACGGGTTAGTTAATGTGTTATATAACAGGTCAAAACCCAACTCAATCCCAATTTTTACTAAGCTTAATTGTTTTATTTGTTCTTTTAAATTACTTTAGTATCTAATAAAATTATTTTTTCTTTATTTTGACTATATATAACATACCAAATTGAAAAAAAAGTTTTTAAAAATTATTTTGACAAGATTTCTCCTGAGCCAATTCGACTTACATATCAATTAATGGGTTGAGGTAATGAATGAGCAGGTCAATAACCCGTCCAAACTTAAACGGATTGGATAAGTTAGACGGGTTGGGTTTGATTTTGTCACCCCTACTCGGAACAAACAATGTGAGCGACCTCACACAAGCGGACACTCTTTTATTAATTATCATGATTAATTCGTACATATATATATATTCTAACTTCCCCAATTTCACTACTAATAAGTCATCCATACAAAAATTACAAAACTTGAAATTAGTCATGAAAAGCAAGAAACTTTATTCACCTTGGCTTTTCCAGGGATAGAACAATTCCACACCATCAAATTGACAGACCCATCTGCACCAGTTTCCGGCCTAGCCACAAAACCCTAAAGAAAACAGAGAAGATACCCATCGAACCATCAAATCAACAGACTCTTAAAATCCATTAATGTGCATTGATAAAGCAAACAAAAAAGTACTTTTAGCGCAAAAATAATAATAATCAAAAAGGGCAGAGAGAGTACATGTGGATGATTCTTCCGCCATGATTTGCGCTCCTCAGCAAGACGACCACGTGCGATTCCGTCAGACATTTTTGCCCCCTTTTTTGCTTTCTCTGAAAATTTTGAACGATGAAATTAAGAATAGGCAAAGAGGAAAATAAAAGGGTTTTTTAAGTTTGTAATTGTAAGATGTAATCCTAGTTGGATTTGAATTTTGATAATCCAACATTAATTCAAATATTTATTCAAAAAAATAATATAAAATTTATTCATCCTCAATTTATGTCAAATTAATTCAATTTATTATGATGATGTGATTTATGAAAACATTAATTTATCAAATTAATTCAATTTATTATGATTATATAATTTAATAAAATAAATATATTAATTAAGAGATAATTTAGAGATATACCTCCATATATTAGCTTTATTATTCTAATATTTTTTTTAGGAAATTAAATTGCTTTAAAAATGAGTAAAATAATATTGTCAATCTAAGTAGAGAAAAGAAGTTCTACAAATGACATGCCAAGTAGATTATGTCCTTCATTCCCCTCCACTTCCCGTAGCCCCATACCTACGACATCATGCCTTCACTACTCAACCTCTACCTCTCATAGTATTTATTATGATTATATATAAATAATTTTAGTTTAACTTTTTTTTACATACATATCGAACACACACATAAAAAAAAGTCAATTCACTTATTTAAAAAAAAGAAGCATTTTTCATGAAAAATATTATTCTTTGGATCGAACACACTTTTACTGTCATATATTGCTCTAGGCAATTCAGTATATACCATTTTCTGGTATTGGTGCCTTCTTCGTGATTATGCATCACTAAAATGTGATTGTAAAACCTCCTTTCCATATTAGTTGATCATTTTCCTTTTAATACAACAAAGACAACTATGTTCATCCTCTTTTTGATTGAATACAAATACATTTGACAGAGATGATGAAAGAGTATTATATTCTTACAAATACAAATACAATTGAAGGAAGAGAGGGGAAGGGTACAGAGAGAGAGGAGAGGGCAAGAGAGGGAAAAAGTTTATTATAAAAACAACATATTACTTTTTTTTAGAATATTTTTAAAATTATTTTTCATAAATAAATTGTTAATTTTGTCTAGTTTCATTATTTTTTCTTAATGGACTGACAAATCCAACGTGATAAACGGCTCAAAAACTTATTTTGGATGAATGGGACCCGTATCTCATGTTTACAAGTTGCTTGGTTCAAAGGATGACATCGATATTTTGAGATTATGTTTATGTATTTTCATCGTTTCAATATGTTTGTTCTATTTTTTATTTTTTTTGTCTATTTCAAAAAAATATTCTCATTACAAAGATAGAAAATATCGTATAGAACCAATTTATATTGCTTTCCACTCTAGTGATCCTTCATTCTTTTGATCACTTTTGTGTACACATCGAACAACAGTTCTTTTGGAGGTTCCTAGGGATCTATTTGTCGGGTAGGTAAGCGAGATAGAAGACTCATTGTTTGTGGTGTTGCAATGAATTTATTGGATAATAATAGCGTATAACGATTTTCTTTTTACTTTCTCCTTTTAAGTGTCAAATTTTAGTTTATAAGTGGTTATTTATCTTCTCTTTTTTTTTTCAAGAAAGATGGTATCCTTCTATTTCCTTATGAATTGAATCAACCATCTATTTTATGGTAATTTTGAAAAGAAAAGCATAATTTCCTTGATAAAAGCCCACCAAAGAGCAAAAGTACAACAAGTCTACTCATCAACAAAGCAAAAGCATGGTTGCTTAGTAAACGTATATTACTTTTTGTATAACTTATACAACATTATCTGATAGATAGATAAATAAGAAATAAGTTATTTGATAGTATAAAATTAATATGATGTTTGGTTAGTTGACAATTTTGAAACTTGCATGACTAATAAATATATAAGTTTTGAAGAAATTAATCCTGCATAAAATAATACATATCTACATTACTAATACTTGCATAATTCTAACCAGCTACCAACTCGATGAAATGAACCAGGGTGTTGTTGGGCATTCTGTGCCGTTGCTTCCATTGAATCAATAAACGCAATAGTAACCGGGGATTTGATATCACTATCTGAGCAAGAGTTGGTGGATTGTGATACGTCGCTAAATAATGGTTCCTTTTTCATAAATATGTGATTCTACTATTCGACTAGTAAAATGAATTCAATAATTC